TTTTTTGATCATACGTTGTATTTTTTTGTTTATTTAGTTTGCCCTGCGCACCGAAAGGGCATATGGTCAAAGGAAATCAACAGAGTGATCTATCTAGTCTATGAAAATGGCATATATAAAATATGCAAGCAATTGCCTGTTTTATTAGATATAAAAGTACTGGATATTATTTAGTGCCCTTTTCCGACATTAGGTAGTCAAAGATTTAAACGAGGATTTTCTGGGGCTGATTTAGAGAGTAGAATACTAGAATACACTGCAGATTATGCAACGTCTTTAAGTTTCATGGTGAGATTTCGTTCGGTTACGAAACCTGGTTCGATGTTATACCAACGTCGTAACGATGATAATAGATTAACTGTAAGTTTCTAATTATGCGAGTGAAAAGGAATCTCAAAAATCTTCCTCGAGGGTTTTTTTCTCTTTGTTAGGCTAAGAAGTACATGCGTGGGTTTCATTTGAACACCCCTCTGCACCCAACTTGATTATATTTACAATGTTGTGGTTTCGTGTACATTGTACAGTAGAGATGCTACCGCGACGGTACGTAACAGTAGGATCATTTTCAATAATTAAGTGCCGACTTAAGTGCACTTAAACGATTGTAAGCAGATTAAAAAGTGGATGGAATGGGATAACTGGACTAATGCTCATTGCCGGCTTCTAGCATGCCAGGCGATACAGTGAACTTTATTGATGAAGGTTCACCGACCGCTAACAGAACTCACTCGAACCGCTCACTTGTAATGTCAATTGCTAGTTTTTCATCGAAAAGGGACATTTTCCCTCGTCGTCCCAACCGACAGACTAAATCTTATGGTTTGCCTACTTCGGTTATTTGTCGCCAAACCACACTCCAGTCGAAATTAGTCTGCCGTGGTTTTCTTGTGTTTAAGATTATAGACACAGAGAGGCGCAGAACCCGACGTTGTATTTGTGCTATCTCTGGCAGGCTTGTGCATTACTGGAAGGTTCTTTTCGATCTATCAAGTCACTTTCACAAACGCGTCAGTTTAACAGGCAATAGAAGCGCTTATCTGGATGGAAGAGGAAAAAGCAAAGATTTCATCGAAATCTATATCATTTGGATATTGCAAGTTATTGAAAAATATTATAGACCGAACGTTCAGCTGAACACGCTCTTATTTTGACCATACGTTTTGTTTTTTGTTTATTTTGTTTGCCCTGGGCACCGAAAAGGCATATGGTCAGGGCGAACCAACGGAGTGATCTATCTTGTCTATCAAAGTGACATCTATAAAATATGCAAGCAATTGCCTGTTTTATTAGATAAAAAATACTGGAAATTATTTAGTGCCCTTTTCCGGCGCTCGGTAAACAAAGACTAAAACGAGGATCTTCTGGGGCTTATTTAGTCATTGGCATACCAGAAAACACTGTAGATTATGCAACGTCTTCAAGTTTCATGCTGAAAGTTTGTTTGGTTACGAAACCTGGTTCGATGTTATACCAACGTCGTAAAGATGAAACTAGATTAACTGTAAGTTTCTAATTATGTGAGTGGAAATGAATCTCGACAATCTTCCTCGAATATTTTTTTTCTTTGTGTTAGGCTTAGAAGGACATGCGTGGTTTTCATTTGAACACCTTTCTGCATCCACCTGGATTGTATTTACAATGTTGTAGTTTCGTGTACAGTAGAGATGCTACCGCGATGGTGCACTTAAACGATTGTAAGCAAATTAAAATGTTGATGAAATGAGACAGCTGGACTAAAACTCACTGCTGGCTTAAAGCATGCCTCGTTGATGAACTTTCACCAACCACTAACAGAACTCACTTGTGTCACTCACTTGTAATGCATCTTTCTAGTTTTATATCAAAAACGAACATTTGCCGTCGTGGTACCAACCTACAGACTATAGTCTATGGTTTGCCTACTTCGATCATTTGTCGCCAAACTACGCTTCAGCCAAATCTAGTCTGTCGTGTTTTGTTTGTGTCTAAGTTTTTAGGCGCCGACAGGAGAATGCCTAGGCAACAGGAGAACCGTAAAAAGGCACAGAACCTGACGTTGTATTTATGCTATCTTTGGCAGGATTGCGCATTTCTGGAAGGTTCTTTTGCTCTGTCAAGTCAGTTTCACGAACGCGTCAGTCTAACACGCAATAGAAGCACTTAACTAGATGGCAGAGGAAAACGCAAAGATGTCATCGAAGTCTGTATCGTTTGGGTATTGCAATTTATTATATTATATTATTATGTCCTGCTGAACACGCTCTTATTTTGCTCACACATTGTATTTTTGTTTACTTCACCTTCCCTGCGTACCGAACGGGCATATGGTCAATGCAAACCAACAGAGTGATATATGCAGTCGAGCGAAATGGCACCTATAAAATATGCAAGCAATTACCTGTCCAATTACATAAAAAAACAGCACTGGATATTATTTAAAGCCCTTTTGGCATCGGGTCGGCTAAGACTTTGAAGAGGCTTTTCTGGGGCTAATTTAGGCACACTATATTACACTGCATTTTGTGCAACGACTTCGTTCTATGCAGTTTAAAATAATTTAGTAAAGTATTTTTCTGTCATATTGCCTTCCGTTTTCCGATGTTTTTGTTCAACTGTAATTGCACGAAGTCTGACAAGATTTCGGAATTTAAATTTAATTCAGGGTTTAGTTTATGGAGTGAAATTCGTCCCAAACACAACAAAACAAGGCAGTTAATACTACTTAGCTGGAGCCTCCTTATTGACGTTAATGCATCTGAAAAGGATTTATTTAGCATACGCTCAGCAGTATGCGAAAAATCATTAATCGTGGTAGATTTTCTTAAGTATTTATTTTGTCAGTTGGTGGAATCGAGGAGTGGGTTCAGAGGGCCATGCGTGGTTTCTGTGTGAACACCTTTCTACCTCCAACTGGGTTATATTTGCAATTCTATAGTTTTGTGTATAATGTACAGTGGAGATGCTATCACGATGGTACTTAACACTAAGATCATTGTCAACACCTAACTGCAGAGTTAAGCGCACTTAAACGATGTTAAAAGGGTTACAAAGTGAATGAAATGAGACAGCTGAACTGAAGCTGTGCAGAACGACATGTGTGGCTTTTATTTGGACAGGCTTCCCTCATTGTAATGCTAGAGTTTTGTGCGCGTTTGGAGTATACAGGAAGGTTCTAAAGGTGGTACTGCTTACCACATTTATATGCACATTCATGGACCCTTAAACGTTTTCTTGAATGTAAATGAGGACCATCGCATGATCTGCTTACTATAATCATTTGTCTAATAAAACACTAGATTGACAGCTTTTCTTAGGCATCTGTATGTGCAGGAACGCATTGGACTAAAATAATTTCTCGAGCCCCAAATATACAATGACTGCTTTCAGCTATTGTCCACATGGACCATTTATATGATTATTAGGGCTTTTCATAAGATTTACTTCTGGTTGCTATGTTGTTACGAAGAAAAAAGGTTTGACAAAAGGTGACAATACATCTACATAAAAACCATATCATTGTAAGGTTTTGCCAGTTGTAACGATTTAAGGGTACTGAATGAGGCTCCACTCGTTAGCTGCTAGACAGAAGCGCTCAATGCAAACACCTCTGATTTGTTTTTGAGGTTAGCAGCCTTACAAACGCAGTAAAAATAATTGCCTACTGTGTTACCATAGGCGGAACTTGTCGTATGCATAAAAAATATGCTTTGGCTAAATGTAGCACAATGTAATAGTTCATAGCAATTATCAAAAAAGACGCTACTGGCGTTTTTTTTCCAAGTCTTATTTTTTCTGCATTCACTCTACCAAAATTCTTAGATTTCACAATGAGTATGCCAATAAAGGCGAGTTTTAGGCCCTTTAGCCAATTCGGTGTATATACTGGTTTGTTTCTCAAATCGGCTAAACCTTTGGACATATTTGATTGACGCCGTACAACTGGCCTCTACCTAAGTAGAAAATACAAAAACCAACTTAAAAGCCACTTTTGGTTCTTAAAAAACCTAGCTTGTTTGACTAGCGTCAGTGTATAATTACACACCCAGCTTTTAGCGGGATTCTAGTGCGTATAAGAATCGGCCTTGATTCACTATCCTTTATTTCAGCTGAGTTTGATGAGGATTTTCATTGTGAAGACTTATAAATATGCACGGATGACTCCCTCACAGTACTACGTCAAAGATATAGACCAGCAAAATATTTGGGACAAAAAGTGACTTGGCCATGTGCCCATTAAGAACTGTTTACGAAATATGTGATAAAACTAAAAGAGTCAGAGGCAACTAGTATTTACAAATGAGATAGGTCTTAACTTATATCTATATAAAGTGCTGCAATGGCTTTTAATTTGCAATTCTATTGGAGTGCTAGGAATATTTTGTTTAAACCGGTAAGTACTGTGATGGAATGAGATATGCTAGTAGAGATGCTCAGTATTAAGACAACAAAACAAGTCATCAGACGCTGCCATTTGTTACTACTCAGCTGGAACCCGTTTTTCCGGTGTCAATGGATCTGGAAAGGATTAGCTTAACATATGCTATTAAATATGCGAATAAAAATGAATCGCGGCAGTGTTTCTCGTGTGTTTTTGTTTTACAGTTGTTGTGGTCACCGGCTTGGTTAAGAACAACGTTCGCGACTTTTAGGTGGACACCTATTTTCCCTCACTGAGTAATATTTGCAAAGCTGCAGTTTCATCTGCCTCGAGTTTACAGTATCCAGGGGATGCTACTGGTGGTGCTTAGCACTAAGATGTTTGTCAACACTTAAATATAGAGCTAAGTGCACCTAAACGATTTATAGAAGCTCAAACACGTAGACCGCATGAGACTAGAAGTGTAAACAAATGAAGTGGTGCTTATTGCAACTATTAATCTAACAAAATAGTACAGTGACTGTTCAACTTAGCAGTATCTTTGCTTTTGAACGAAAATGATGTTCCTAGCCCCAAATGTAAAATGATTGTGTTCGACTAGTCCTTTTTTCTACTCGACCAAATTTCAACCAAGGTTCTTAGACTTCATGATGCGAATATAGGTGAGCTTTAATGGCCTTAACCAATTCAAGTTAAAGAATGGTTTGTTTGACGCCACACAAGTGGCCCTCTTTTGTGTATAAATTATAAAAGTCGACTTAAAGGACGCCGAAGGGTCTATAGGAGTTTAGCTTGTTGGAATACCTTCAGTAGTTGTTCACCTTGACCCATTTTATCGAGAATCAAGCGTGTTTATAAGAATTGGTCTTGATTTGCTGACCTTTTCTTCACATCATGATCAGCGTGAAAATATGTAAATATCCACTGATGACATACTTAAAAAATACTATGCCATAGATGTATGCCATAAAAATATTTTGAACAAAAACTTACTTGGCCACATGCTCATTAATAGCAGTTAACGTAATATAAGACAAAACGGCAAGAGTCAGACGTAACGCGCATTCTTTAATTGGAAAGTTTTTTTAATGATTCGAATAGTCTATACTTTTGAATCCTATTGGAATGCTAGGACTATTTTGTTCCCTTCGAGTAGTACTGTAATAGAATGAGGCAAACGCCATTAATATATAATGACAACAGAACCTTATTAGTAATGTGGAAATTAAGCCAATGGAACTGCTATCCATTAAGTAATGTTTGGTAATTGTAACACATTTGTTAAGCTATTATCCATCTTTTGAAACTTTCTCCCTTTAAAGCCCGTGATGGACAATTTACAGCATTAGATGTTGTACCTGCGCGTACATAAAAGGCTTAAGCATGGTGACAAAAATTAAACGTGCAGTTCTTAACTGAAATGAATATGAACAAATTTGAAAATGTACCTGCGAGTCTGAAATTTCTACTGGGTCGGCACAGACAATCCAGCGGACGCATTCTGAACATGGCGGTGTTGTCAATGATCCCTCGTAGGTGTAGTATCGAGACAAATCTTTAAAATAAAGCAAAATACCTTAATTAATTTGGTGTATCCATGGCTCTTCAAGTACAAGAGAAGCCGTTTCTTGACGCGCATACTGTTAAATTTTCTTCATGTTAGTATAAATACAGTCATGAAATATTCATTTAGCAGTCTGATAAATGACTTTGGTTCATTTAAGTGAAAAACAAAGATAAGGCGTTGGACCATCTATGCCCGTCAAATCCCTTTCGGTTATATTGGATACCTCTTTTAAAGATAAAGCAGCTAGAAAAACGTTTTCATAAATAAGCAAAGACCTGGAACAAAAATATAGCTAAAACCTTCCGATATTGAGCAAGGGTTCCCATATGTCCCATATATGTTAATTGCGCAATATTTTATATACATATATATGAGTAAAACTGTACTAAAATAACCTTTGTTAATTAGGAGTGGCAAATTAAATTAGTCCTATAGATCAGCAAAAAAGGTAACCGAAACAAATCATTAATACTTTTAGTACAATAAGTAACAATAATAAGCTTTTGCAGATAAAAAGTTCTCTAGATATCACCTTTTCGTATTGTTTTACTCATGACGCATTAAGACCGTCTTACACATGACCTAACGTTTTTTACTCCTAGTGGTAACTATTTTAAAGCGTTACAATATTGACAAAGATCCATATTTCCAAATATCTTTATAATTTTTTAGTAGGTGCAGTGAATTAAGCTTCAACAGTGTACTTTGCACTCAATACTGACATAAAAATGTTTTATCACCATATCATATCATATTATATATTCACCAATATGTCTTTGTAACGCTTGAAATACTAGCTCACCATACTATTGTAAGCGTTGTTGCCGAAAAATGCGGTAATTTAGCAGACGTGATTAAAATAAAGAGATCTTAAAGCAAAAAATAGTTCTACCTTAGGAAACCCATAAAGACAGCTTACTTGGTACAATCTCGAAGATATCAATTGGCGTGTCCAGGACGGCTTCACTTGCATTATGCAATTTTTCTATGGTTTTTACCAGTGTTTTCAATCCCTTGTTTTCTTTGGTTCCCGCCTAGGTAAAAAAAACAAAGCTCAGATATGTATCTTCCGTCGGCGACATGTAATGCATATTTTAAATTAAGCATGCTTTATTTTACTTTTTTCATGTCGCAAAAACTTGTAGGACTCCCTTCATTCAGTTATCGCGGCATAGTTTTCAACATGTAGATTTCCTACTTAGTGTGAACTTGGTACGTTATTTTATTGGATTTGACTTCTGCAAACTGAAACAAATATTTAACTAACTCACATGTAGGAAAACTCCAAGCACGCAAAGGCCTTCAGGATCCTCTAGTGCATCATTCTGTGCAGAGTAACGTTCGGCAAGAAATACTAAATGCATTTCACCAGAATAGCTGAAACCGTCGACGTGATGCTCTGAACCCCATCTGCTTTCATGTCCCCAGTGAAAATGAAACTGTTGCAGGATATACCGTTCACGTAGAGGTCCACCTTCTATGCATGCGGCTAGCAAAAGGAGGAATAAAAGTCGCGTAAGTGCAATAGAGAGTGACATATGGAAAGCAAAATAGATTGCAATCTATTAGGAAATAAGACAAATACTCCGATGCACACAAAACGTAAACATATGCATATGGGTTGACTATTATTTGAGCACTCACAACACGACTTCTGAACCAATTTCCAGCTCATAAAGCTAAACAGTGCAATGCTTTTAAACCCTTTACTCCGATTCATAAAATTTAGCCTTTCTGTCTCTATGTCCAAATGGACTAAATTTTTAAAAATTTAAGTCGTATTTTCAGAGATAAGTGCTTCCTATTTTTTTGGATTTCGTTCTATCGGTTATGTTTATACGGTGGAGACCGTGAACGAGAAATAGGAGCGTGTACTAATGGAAAAATTAGAGCATACTTTCTCAGATAATATTTATGAGTATCGTAGCCTTTGGAATTTTCGAAACCTTTTAGTTTGCAAAGGGACACCTAAGAGTTATTATGGCTGCTCATTTCTTTAGCTGCCTGCAGAAAGCAAATAGGGTTGTCAGAGAACTTGCCCACCTTATATTGGATTATGTATCTTTCGATGTGTGCTGTAAGGAATACAGCGGGGAGTTATCTTGCGTTATTAACGCATCGACGAGGGATGTAGAAAAGGCCTAGACATATTTAAATATGTCACAGTTTTGAGCGCTCATTAGGTCTGATGGATACGAACTTGGTTAGGCAATGTAAATTAATAAATAATTTACTAATCATTCGAATTTTTATACTTATTTCCGTACAAATACGTGTTTCAAATTCGCCTGAAAGTTCGTACAAAATATTTTTGCAATCATGGAAAACTCATGGAAATACGTAGCATTTATGCTATTACGGTCAGTGATATGAACATTTACAAAATACAATTGACTTACTTTTTTCCTGCGGAAAAGTAATACTAAAATTGTGCTTCCCTTTCTTGAACATCTGTTGGCCAGATTTCAAGGGTTTCAGTGAAATTTTGGGAAATTCTAGGTTTTCCTCACATTGTTTTGTTATAATATTCACTGGAGACTGCTTTCCTCCGGCAGCACATTTAGCAGTCAAGCACCACGTGTGAGGACCTTTTTATTAGTATGAACATACTCTTACCATTTTTTGGGCCGTATCCATAATCGGTAACAGGGCCGCTGGTGCAGGCCATACTTTTGTGATAAATTCGGCGATAAATGGTGCCGCACTCGGAACGATCTAAATATACCGCTTTGAAGGGTAACCTTGCAAAATTGACATTTTAAACAAAAACTATACATAGTTTTACTTTTTAAGGAGATTTATGTATTTTGCTGTTTTTGATAGGCAAATGGGAATTTTTGCACTAGGCGCTAGGGCGACCTTGCTCAGCTGGCAAGAATAGGTAAAATAACAGTGGGTCAATAAGTATACTTTAATTAAATCACAACAATTGGCCACATCCTCCATCTCAAATATCCCTCAGCTTACTGAAATTGAAATGGCAAGTTCGAAGTCTTGAAATCTATTGAAAAAACCAACGTCATCAGCACATTGAGTTAAATTCTTCTACGGTGGATTGAACACGCTTTGGTGCTCAACAATCAGAGTAACCTGTGGGGACCAACTTAAAACTGCCTGTTGGAATTGAATTCAGAAAATATGTCTAGAACACAGGCCTGAAAGGTCTCTGTAGAGACAGCAATTGAATCCGTAGACTTTTTTCTCACCCAGTAGTATTTTTTGGAAAGTGGTTTTGGTGTCAGGGGCCAATGAACCTTTACTGCATCATTTAAAACGGCTGCTGCTCATGTTCGGATCTTTCAGGATAAAAATTTACACATCAACCCTTTACCATTGTGCCCAAGATTCTGACTGATATTGTGGCACCACACTCTACCCCCGTCCCGAACCCGCTTTATGCATCAATTCTGCCGCGCCGCTGCACAGATATGTGGTTTTATATCACATATTCTTCCTTTCTGAAAATAAAGTTTAAACTGTATCGCATGTATGTTCTACCCATCCTAGAATACTGCTGTCTGGAATACTGCTGTCTTTGGTCGTATGAATGCTTTTGACCGCCTTAAGGTTGAAAATGTACAAACGGTGTTTACTCGAAAAATATTTGCATTTCCTCGATCCAATATTTCTTATACGGAGAGATGTCAGTTAACGAACATGACATTTTTTGGGTTAAAAGACTCGAAGCGGGCCTCTGCTTCCTTTTTCGCGTTAACTCTAGCCCAAACCTCTCACTGATCCCGCTCTTTTTCCCGCAGATAGATCTTATGCTATTCGGAATTCCTTCTGGATACTTGCACCCCCATTTAGCTCCACATCGAACCATTCTCGCTATTTTGCCTCCAAATATGCCTTCCTCAGG